CACTCTCGAAAAGAGGACCCGCATGCCAACGAATTAAGACAAAGTGCCGCGGCACCTGCAGGGTTAATTAAACAGTTCAAGATGCAATAGCTACACAAAAGAAAGCCGTTTTCTCTTCTTTAAGAACTATAAACACTTGTGCTGAACTAGATGGGCGTTTGATAAGCTGCGTGCACAGAGCAAGCTCGCGGGATCTCTAGTTAACACTCAGATTCAGTATTAACACTTAACGGAACAGTGGTGAGCCCTGTTGCCAAGGTCAACAGCACAGATGCACTAATTGTATTATGAGCTTGACATCTAGTGGCCACCCCTGGCAGGGCAGAGCAGGCAAAGGTTAAATCAGCAAGGCTTGTCAAGGCTCTTCTAACTACCCACCTTCAGGGAGAGTCGGGAAGCTGGCCAGCCCTCTGCGGCCCACCTTTTCACAGACTTCAGACAAAAAGGCTCTCTACCCGAGCCGGCCGCTAATGCTCTCAGAGAATGCGAAGGGGTAGGGATTTTAGATGGTAGGCATAACTAATCTGAAGGTGATTGAAAAAGACAGGCCCACAGAAGAAAATATTTAGACACCACACTGGCATCGTCAGACCCCTTTGGTGGACACGGTCTCAGTCTCGAGAACTCTTCCCTTTAATTAAGAAACAAATCAATCTTAATCTCTTAGTCTCATAAACAGAGACTATTCCATTATCTTATTACGATTAATATTTTACACCTTCTATAATATGGCTTGCCTTGTTTGCATGGAAATCACATAGTTAACTGCATTTTAAATCATAATTGTGTTGAAATTACAAGAAAAATCTAAGGTAGAATAAAAAAAGTTTACTTAAAGTAACAGTAAAACACTCAATTTTTACATAGATTTAAGTTGATTTTATATGAAATGTGCAGTGACTTAACATACGCTCTAATTACAACCCTGTTCCACGAGTAGCAGAATTAGCTCACGTCTTCATGAGACTGTCTAAGACATGTGGGTCTTATTCTGGCAACTATTCAAGAAATCATGTAGGAAAATAAAATCTAATAAAAACAAAAAAAAACCCTTCCTGTTGTATTATTCAAAAATCATGCTTCTTGAAACTATTTTGCAGCATTAAAAGACGATGCATAACCTCATTAGCAGTTAAAAAGATTTTTATTTTACTTAAATAAAAGCCTGTGCCAATAACTTACATTTAAGAAAGCTGAATTCCAACTAATGGTCAGTGCACAGAATAGAAACCTTTTTTTATATTTTTGCCAAATTCCCCCAAGTGAAAATGTTCTTAGGGCTACCTGGAGAGGAATAGTAAAGCTTCTTAGAGATTGTAGTTGAAAATGAAATCTGACCCACTTTTTCCATCATCTTGTATACAAAAAATAATCAGCTTGCTAAGTAATTCCTGCTGTTACTCCATACCTTTTTCTGGCTCTGAACAGATCTAAAAATATTGGATTGTGCATATGCCGTGGAAGTTTAAAATTTATTGTACATACAAATTCCCTAACTCTCTTACATAATCAGCTCTCTGAGGGTGGGAATTAATTGGCATGTTTTTTTGTTCATCGCTGAAATGAGCGTTTTTAAATAGGTTAAATTTTTAAATGTTATTTTTAAAAGAAATGTTTGCAAATTCTTCTCCTTTCCCCCACCCCGGTTACTCACTTTTTACCTTTCACGTTTCAGAGAAAACAATCTGCCTGTGAATGTTAGAAAGTGGCTTCTGTATTGTTCCTTTTGGTATGCTGAATTGTAAATGTGTGTGGTGTGCGGGGGGAGCTGGCAAACCAAGCAGATACAGATGAAAGGAAAGATCCTACCCCAGCACTGGTGGCCCTTCCTTCCCTTAATTTAAACACAGTCTGTGAATGCCACTGGTAAATTCTTAAATCACATGCTCACCACATTTAAAAGGATTTTTAAGATAGCCGTATACTGTAGGTTGGCAGAAAGTAAAAACACACTTTGAAGCAATTAGTGCTAACAAACAAAATACAGTATGGCAAATTGTTTTAAATTATAATATCCCTTTGTTCTTCCTTATATACATATTTTCTAAGGACAATAAAACACATCTTTTTAAAATTATACTTTATATGATAAAGAGTAGCAATATTAAATTTTTTAAAGTTCTTAGTGGGAGTATAACTGTCATTGGAAGTTTTAATTAATTTTTCTCAGAACAAAAATATTCAGCTGGCTCAAAGGATTTCATTCTTGTGGCATAAACTTAACTGAATCACAAGCTGCATCACACTCCTAAACTAGGAATGAAATACTTTGCAAACAAGGAAATTTAAAAGACATTTCTATTAGAAACCTAAGTCTCAGTGATCCTTAAAATAAATTTTTACAAAAGGATAACTTTAAAACTTTACATAAATCATCCTTACTCTTTCTCGTTTTACAAATGTCATATTTCATTCCTGCAGTGATAAGGTTTGGATAGCACCGAAGCCATTTTTGTGTAGTACCTTTTCATTGCTTGCCTAAAAGCCAAAGCCTGAAAAATGTCATAATCCTTTTTAAATATAGGCTTTTTAATGTGAATTGATGTGACTGAACCTTTGCCTCCCCTGAACAATTTTGCATATAATATTTGCTCTGCATGACATTAGCAATTGCCTTCAATTTTACTGCACGTGAAGTAGATGGACCTATTGCTTTAATTAATATGTCACGCCCAAAGTAATACAAAGGAATTACTTAGCTCGTTTCTAAAACACTGTAAACTAACTTAGCTCACTTATAACTTCATGCATGGTCAGTTTATTTCCACTGCGTTTAACAAAATTAAAATTTTAGGAGCTCTGAGTCAGGTTGGATAATTTAGTTTCCACAACCATTTATCTTTAAAGAAACATTTTACTTACTTATCTTAGTAACAATGAGAACCACAGAGTAATATACACATGAGCATTCCTACACTTAACAGGGAACAGAGTATCTTTTATGCTCCATGAACAATCTGCTTCAGAATAATTAAATCAGAAAGAACTTTTAAAAGATAGTTTGCCTACACTATCCTTAAAACAAGCATGGAAACACATTACTTGACTGAGGCTCTGCCCCCAGATGGGCTATTTTTGGCCTGTTGCAAAATATGATCAGGAACTGTGGCAATATCTTGATCACAACTCTGAATGACTGTGAAAAACACAGTCTTGGCAAAAACTTTCATCCTAGCACGGGCAAAACCCTGCATGTGCTGCATCTCTAAATAAATTTGAGCAGCAACGAGGGGACTTCAGAACAGAACTTGTAAATAATTTACTCCATCTTAGGCTTTCAAATATAGGCTCTCTACACCCCTCCCCGTGTTTACACTATTAAGTTCGGCATGCTCACATTTCTGAAGTGAAATTAAAAATGAATAGCAGTGCCTCAGCTTGTTAATTGTTAAATACGAGGGGTTTTACTCTATTAATTAAAATATGCTTTAAGAAGAGGAGACATTGCACATTTTGATAACGACCCTACAAAGCTGAGAAGTATTTACATTGTTGCATTTTGGGGCGGCTGTGAAAGCCGATTTTCAGCTATTCAGGAGCCACAATAATAAAGGTTTAACATTCCTCGCTGGGATGCAATGTAGTTCTTTTGAAGGAAAGACTGTCTTTCTCATTCGGCAGAAATAAATCCATTCATTTGATCATGTAGTCATTGAGGGCGATACAAAACAAACCAAGTGTGAGAAATTCTATGTGATGAAGTAAACAAAACCAAAAAAAATCCATTTCCATGACAAAAAGATTCTTTGTCCCTAATCTACCCACCATATGCAAGCGCCTCTCTCCAGCACATCGCCGGCCCTAATCTCGGCCTCACCTCCGCGGCGACAAAAAGACCCGAACCAGCGCGCGACGTTATTTAATTCGCTAATTCCAGCCGCGCCCCGACGCGGACGCGCCGCTTCGCCAAACTCGGCGGCGCCGTGCGGGCAACGCGGAAGCTCCTGCTTTTTGCAGCCGTCCCGCTCTCACCGGGAAAGGTCGCAGCCGCCCCTGCACAACTTGCACGACGTTAACCGTAAAAGCTGGCCGGCCTCTTTGAGGAGCAGGTCGCGTCCCGCGCGAGCTCCGCCGCAGGCTCGGTGCGCCCCGGTCCCGGCGCCCTGCGGCCCCGCGGCTTCGACCGGACGGGCGGGCTGGGGCGCCCCGAACCCCGCGGTGCCGTCACCCGCCTCTAACTCCGGCGGCGCGGGCCGTTCGTGTTTGGACGTTCCCAGCAGAAAGTTCCTGCAAAGGTGCCTCCAGCGCCCGTTTTCGGTGCATCCACGAGAACAGGCAAAGGCCTAAGGGGAAACGCGGACCCACCGCACACCGGCTGGGCCCGCTCCGTGCACACACCGGGCCGGCGCCGCCGCGGCCCAATTCCCAGGTCGGCCATTAAGCAAAGGCCGAGAGGCGTCTGCTTTCCACTCGCTGCGCAGCGGGGTCGTCGGATTTGCACCGCGCTGGGACATCGCGGGGCCCGCGGGGCACCGGCGCGGCAGGGGTGGGGGCACAGGTGGGCCCCGCGGCGGCTCCGAGCGCGCTGCCTGCGGCGCCGGGACGCGGGCTCCGAACAAAGCTGGCCGGGCGGCGGTCTCCCCGGCCCGACCCAGCGGTGGGCGAGCTCCGGGCGCGCCCCCCGCCGCTGCGCTCGCCCGGGGGTGGCCGAGGCCGCCCCAGCGTCCAACCGCGGAGAACGGGGGCTGCTCCGAGGACCCCCTCCCGCCCCGGCCTCCGCGTGGGCTCCGCGCCTGGCCTCGCCGCCTCCGCGCGCAGCTCCCCAACTCCGAGAGGGAACCAAGTTTACTTCGCCCACAACTCTTCCCGCGGCCGCGCGCGCTCGGGGAGAGCACCCGGGTCCCCGAGGCCGGCCTGGGCCGGGCGCCGGGCGCGGCGCGGACACTTGCTCGCGGGAACCAGGGAACTTTTTCTCGCTCCCCGACGCGCGCACCCGATCCCGCCGCCCGCGCTTCCCCAGCCCCAGTGCGCGCCCCAGACCCCCGAGTCCCGGCCCTCACCGTGCTCGGGAGCCCCGTCCGGCGGCGGCAGCTCCTCGTCGGACTTGAGGTGCTGGGGCTTGGCCTGCTTGCGCCGAGACATGCTGCTAGCGGCGCTCGGGCCCCGCGCGGGGCAGCGGCATCAGCGGGGAGGCCGGCGGGGACGGCGCGGGGCGGGCGCGAGGCGGCCTGCTTGCGCCGAGACATGCTGCTAGCGGCGCTCGGGCCCCGCGCGGGGCAGCGGCATCAGCGGGGAGGCCGGGAGGGGCGGCGCGGGGCGGGCGCGGGCCGGGGGTGTCTGACGAAGATCCGCGCCGGGCTGCGGGCGCTCCCGGGGCTTCTCATTAGCGCCCTCGGGGACCCGCCTGACGTCGGCGGGCGCGGGGATAAGAAGCGCCCCGAGGTCCGCGGCGGCATCGGAGCCGGCGCACCCCGGGGCGGCCGCGGTCCAGCGCCCGGAGCCGCCGAGTCCCCGCGTCCCGTGCGCCCCGCGAGCCGGGCGCCGCCGGGCATGGAGTAGCGGGGCGCGCGTGGCCGGGCGCGCGGACAGACGCCGGGCGGACGCGCGGACAGACGGCCGGACGCCACCGCGGCTGCCGGGCGCGGACGCAGGTACCAGCGGGCTCCGGCGCAGGTGGCCGGCGCGGCGCGGGCGGGAGCCGGGTCCCGCTCGGGACTCCGGGGCGGTTTCGGGACTCGAGCCGGCCGGGGCGACCGCGCGCACAGGCGACGCGGGGAACTTGAGCGCGGCAGCCCCGGCGGGGCGCGCGGCGCCGCCTTGCCGGAGAGGGCGGGTGTGCAGGCCCGGCCGCGCCGGAGCAGCCGCCTGGGCGCCGCGTGGCTTCCGAAGGTCGAGGGAAGTCGCGCCGCTGCTGGGCACCGCGGGGCCGGCGGCCGCTGCCGTGCGGGCGAAAGTTGGGGGCG